ACTTTCTCTCTTTTAAAAGAAAAATTAGCCAGTGTCGCTAAAAGTTTTTGAAAGATTGAAGTGCATTCTCTCCCAGCAGGAATTTCGTGCACATGGACTACAGATGGATCACAGTTGGGGGTTCAACTAATGTTTCTTCACAGTTTTTTTATTTGCATGATTGTGATTGGGTGTGTCGAAATGATAATCTTAAAAAAAGACACTACACCCCGCAACACCTGAAAGGAAAGCAAAATAACAGGATGGATGTCACTTGCGTGCTCATGCTATATGCTGGCACGCGGTTGTGTCCATGAGTCTCCAGGGACATGAACCCCTCACCCTACCCCCTCCTGAGGGACTAATTTGAGGGGAGGGTCAATGTGTTTTGTTGCTTGTCAGAAACAATCACCCCCGGCCCATTACATTTACAGCACGTCGTGCTTTCATTGCTGTAACACACTGAGCTCGTAGAGGGGGAAGGTGGCTCAGAAAGGACTGTGGAGAGAAATAAAAAATCATCTGAACAGACAAAAGCCGACAAACTTCTGTGAAAGTGGTTGAAATGTGCCGAATGCAAATCCCACTCTTGGCGGATTGGAACCAGGTCCTTTGTCTTTTTCTGTAAGATTTGAGATTAAAAGAGAATAACAACTTTATTTAGTGAGCCCTGTGCAGCCCCCACCTCTCTCTTGTCTTCTGTCCCGGCCCACCCGCCCACTCCCTGTTCTGTTTGGGCACTGGAGGTTGTCAGTCGGGGTTTATGTCCAGTTCACTGGAGCTGAAAGAAGTCAGTTTCGCGTCTTGTTATGGAACAAGTCGTCCTCCGTCTGAGGAGCGATGGTCCGGGTAAGCAGGGTGAGCAGGGAGTGAGACCATCCTCTGGAGACGACCAGCGGCGAGGAAGTCAATGCAGCTTTTGTGCAGCGGCTGTCGGCTGTGTGTTTGGTAATCATCCCCCCGCTACCTGAGCATAGACGGGACTTTTTGCAGAAGGGATCCCGACCCAACTGGCCCGTGGAAGAGTGCACAACATACCGTCAACAAAGATTAACTTTCACAGAGCTGCCGAGTTCCCTGATTGGAGTAGACACGTGAAATACACGAGGACCTCTCTCAGGTCACGGGCAGGACTGCAGTCGGGTCTCGAACAGCAGAAGAGTCTACAGATAGCAGCACCTGAACAGCTGGTGGACTGCAGTGGACTACCACCTACCCCCACCTTCTCCCCTAACTTTATTTTGCGTGTTATAACAGGCATCAGAGTACAATCTGAATAAGATGACAGAAGATAGATATTTACACATCCGTGGACATAGTCACAACATGTAACTGTTTCAGATGTTGAAGGTAGAGCTTCATTGTGGGCTCAGATGATACAAATTCTAACTGGAGCAAATCAAATAAAATGTTACAAAAAGTTAGAGGAAAGTTTTCCAACCAATACTTCCCAAAATCTTTCTTTTTTTCTAAAAAAAGAAAAGTGCTTACTGTATACCCATAAATGTGTAATTGTTGCACTTGAAAAACATTTAAGAAATTTCAGATCCAGCAATGTTTTTTTATTCAAAATGAACTAATAAGGATCCCCAAATTACATACATTAAATGCAGCATGAGAGACTCATATATGGTGAAATAGTTATGGAAATATTCTGAGAAATGCCTACTTTTCTCTCTACTTTGAGAAAGAGTGGTCCAGGCCCAAAATGTCCTCCATCTGATTTGCAACTATAGTCAGAATGTTTTATTTTTCAGATCACACGTTTGAGTAAGCTTTGGAATATAGTTCATTCACTTCGTATCAACTTTGAACTTGAGCTTCTAATCAACTAAAACAGAGATATTGTAAAATCTATTAAATCTGAGGCTCACCACTGATTTTCAAAATATTCAAAAGTGTCCAAAAATAGTCTTTACATCATCATCTTCTTCAGAATCTGTCCTTCTTCTCATCAGTCAGATCACCCCAATAAGGGAATACCAAATAACATCAACAACAGCGACAATTATGATGACAACAAAAATAAGAATAATACCAAATTCTCACTCTTAACACCACCCACATAAAGCTGATTCAGTTCCTCACCAAACCATCACACTCTGGATACTCTGTGTATCTCCAATGTTTGTGATCAGCAACAGCTCAGACTTTAAAAGCGGAATGATGTGTTTTTCATTTGAAAATACTCCTCTACACGAACCGTGGTCTAAAATTTGTAAGGAAACTGAAAGGCACCAGTTGGTTCACTTATAACTCCCCCATTTAAAAATGCCACAGCTCGACTCCTTTCATATGATGCAGAATAGACCCGCCTTGATCTGCATCAATTGTCATCCCTGGGGCTCAGGGGCACTTCGGCGGCCAATGTAGTGTGCGAAGTCAGGGCTAATCCCTGGAAAAGGAGGGAATCACGGGAGAGGAGAGACGCAACAATAACCAAGTCAAGCGTATAAAATGAAAGCGAAATCTCTATTATCACTCCCAGCAATTCCCAGCAAAGTGGTGAAAATCAGGGTTAGTTTGTGATGCGAGTCAGACGCGGAGGGAAGAATATGGGGGTCCCTGTGGGTTGGGAGACTCACACGTCGAAAAGGGCAATATTCTAGAGAAAAGGGGAAGAAGAAAGCCTCTCTCCCATCCCGACATAACCATTAAATGCAGTCTGACTTTATGTTGTATAGAGAGGGGGGAACAAGAAAGGAGGCACAGTTCTCCGATGAAAGAATGAGGTTTTTGGCGGATTAGGGACGGCCCAAAGGATGAAGAATAACTTCTGCATAACTTTGCAGCTATTTTCTCTCCCCACGCCAAGAGCCAAGTTTAAGGCTGAAATTATTTAAGTTAACCCCTTTGTGACTATCCAGCATCTTCAGGTCTGACCATGATCTCTTATCCAGAATCTGCAAACTTAACTTGCACCTGGGACGCAATCACACCTTTACCATACCCTTAATAAATTACAAACAGAAAGCACACGAAAGGCATGTGAAACACAACCTATACTCTTAGCATACTTTGCTCAAAGTATATTTCTATTTATGAAATCTAACATTGCTCAGAGATTTGAACCAAACTCCACCCCCTCAAAAAAACAACTTTCAGGTAAATTTCGTAAGTCCTATTTCACATTATGTCTAACACACAAAGAAGGGTCTAATTTGACTATTTCATACATTTTTGGGGGAATTTATTCTTTGGCTTCACCTTCTAAATTGAACTGTATTCGCCGAAATTATGCTGAATTGGATTAACTTGATTGAACTGGACTGTTTTCATGCCTTTGCTTAGTGCCTTGGTGTTTGAGTAATAGAACACTGCAGCCAAATGATCAGAATAGAGGCCTTTTCTGTATTTGTGCATCATTGTACAACTACTCTTGCTCTCTAAAAAGTACCTAAACTTTACTCCAAACACAGGACGTTTGAGACAGATTGGTGCCTGTTCAATTTCAGCCTGTTGTCACTCTCCAGTTTAATCAGTGGTACCTTCCACCCAGTGCACAGTACATGGTGGCCTGAATCATGGAGAGCCTCAGCTCCTGAAGGGCTCTCATCATCACATCCCCTAATTTATGAATGTAATTAGTGATTTTTGTACTCTTGGTTTTTCTATGTATTACATGCTAATTAAGTTTTTCCTTTTTTTGTTTCTTTTGGTTATTTCAAGTAGTGATGATATGCTGATTTTATGTGGTCATCTGCTGATTATACGAAAGACATTCGCAACTTTACGGTGTGATCAATCTATACATTTCAAGAAATGTATTTCACTATCAGGCTAGTCTAATACCAAAACTAATAAGACAAACAGATGTAGCCTATATACTCTTTATAGCTAGAATGTTATATTATAGGAATAATTGCACAAAATAGCTAGGTCATCAAGAGTTTATGCTGTAATCACTCTTTTTTGAGAGCCACACTAGAAAGTAATAAAGGAATGGGGAACATCTGAACAATTAGGTGAACTCTGGTCAGAAGAAGAAGAGTTAATGAGCTGCCAGTGGCATGTGCAGCGACAGGAGCATCAGAGGCCAAAATCATCAGAGGAGTCGAGCGCGGGCATGAGAATAGGCCGCTAATGCTGTGCGCCTTCTCTCCTCGCTTATTTTCATTAGGCGCTGATGACTGCGGAATTGATGCGGCCCGCAAGTTATCAAGAGCCACTAATTTCACATTAACGACCATTGACTGTGGTGGCTTGATTTGAGGGGGTTTTTGACAATTATCACAATCAGGATTTGAGCCCAAATCGTTTACCTTGACTCTGTGATTATTTGCTCCGTGCCGAGTGCACATTGCAGAATTGTGTGGTGTCAAGAACCCGCAAATAATGAGGAGAGCGGGAGGAAGGGCTATCTCTTTCAAACAAACAGGCACAATCACACTCTGCAGTGACCCCACATTGACAGATAGATAGATAGATAGATAGATAGATAGATAGATAGATAGATAGA